CCTACCCCACCCCAGAGAACCCAATTTACCTAAATTAAAGCCTTTGTTTCCACATTTGCAAAATGAGCTTCCTCAGCGTTTTACTTTTGCTACCTAATTGGGTTATAAGAAATAGGTGTGTATATGTAAAGTACCTAGTGGAGTGGCACGCAGAAGGAACTAAATGTTAGTCTCTTTTTTCCCACTCCCTCTGATGTGGCAGTGTACTTTTTTATTTGCTATTTTTTATTAATTTATTTTTAATTATAATTGACATAGAATATTATATTAGTTTCAGGTGTACAATATAGTGATTCAGCATTTATATACCTTGCAAAGTGATCACCACAATAAGCTTAGTAACCATTGGTCACCGTACATAGTTATTATAATGTTATTGACTCTGTTCCCTATGCTGTACATTACATCCCCACGATTTATTTTATAACTGAAAGTTTGTACTTCTTAATTCCCTTCCCTTTTTCTGCCCTTGCCCCCTCTTCTCTGGCAACCAAAAATTGGTTCTCTGATTTCACTCATATGTGGATTCTAAAAAAACAAAACAAATGAACAAACAAAATGAAACACACTCATAGATCCAGAGAACAAATGCCAACCATTTTTGAAGGTAACAAAATATTCTAAGAATGATGTTTTTTAACAGCTGCCCATAATCCCCCTGGGAACCAACTGCCAACTCTGGCCGTGGGTTGACCCTTTGGGTCGTATACCAAGGACCCTTGGGGAGCTGCAGCCCTGCCCAGTCATCACCACCGCAGGCATGCCCTTTTTACTTGCAGGACCTCAATTCATCACTCAGAAGTAAGCAGTTTTTGTATTCCATGCCTTAAAGAACTCCTGAGAGTTATTGGTCAGACTCTGGCAAGCTTTACTTTTTTTTTCTTCTTTTTAAAATGACAGTGATTACTAAGCTGGGCAACCAAATTTCTTCCACTGCTAAATGATTTCATGACTTTGGTTTGGATGTGTTGGAACAAGAAGCCAAAACACAATGGTGTGACATAGGCATGTGATGGAACGTGTTGCAGTTTGTGTTGCCTGCTCCTATTAAGTTGAAATGTTTTCAACTGTGTCTTCAGCTTGTAACAAATCCCGGAGATGGCCAAAGACGACTCCACTGTTCGTTGCTTCCAGGGCCTGCTGATTTTTGGAAATGTGATTGTTGGTGTAAGTAATGAGTACTTTTCAGGCAATCTTGCTTTTCCTGTAATCATGCTTTTAGATCAATCAAAAGTGAAAGTGTAAAGGAAAATAATGATATGATCACTGGCTCCCTATATCTTATCTCATTTTAAGAACTGTGATACTAAAATATGCTAGCTAGAATTAAACTACATAAATAATCATATAGGGGCCGGCCGAGTGGCGCGATGATTAAGAACTGGCTTGGGACGCCAGAAGGCCCCAGTTCAGATCCCACATATGAGGGCCAGTGACACTGCCCTCTACAGCTAAGATGCTGAATGACAGCTCAACCTGGAGCTGGGCTGCCGTGAGTCGCCAGAAGGCATAGGCTGCAGCCCCTGTGGCAGTGGGTTGCCATGGGCTACCGTGTGTAGTGTGTAGCCAGCAGCTGCAGTGAGCGGCTGTCCAGAAGCCGGCGACTGATCTGCCTCACCTGGGAAGAGCGCAATGATGGTGCCAACTCGGGCCAGTGAAGCAACATCCTCCACAACTAGATTGAAGAACAAAACGACAGCAACTTTTCTATTCCCCTTCCCCCCAATTCCCCAGCACTGTTCCCATCCCCCCAATTCCCCAATTAAAAAAAAAATCATATAGAACTATGTAATATATTGAAAGGCCATGGTTGAAAAAAATAGATATTCCTTTCCCACATTTAAAACACAAGAGCCTAAAAGGAACTATGGCAACCATGGTCAGCATCCAAACACTCCCACCACACACGTGCTCTGGTGTTTCTTCCTATTTCACCTTGGTTTGATTTCTGTGGAATTCTGCTGTTAAGGTTGTTGAGGGCAGATGTTTGTGTCTTCTCATTCTCATCACACAGAGGCCAGTACCAGGATGTGAGAGGAGGTCAGAGGCCACGCATGGGGTGTGGGGCATGGAGTGGTGGGAGAGCACTGAGGACTTGGGATCCCGGGCTCTTGGCCCAGGCTCACCTCTGACTCCGCGGGACTCTGGATAGGTCTTTGCCTTTAAGAGCCAAGACCCCTCATCTGTAAAATACAGGGTGTGGGAAAAATAATGACCAAGGTTCCTTCCAGTTGTAACCTTCGATGGTTCTCTGGCACTAATAAATATGACCAGGACCAGTTTAAATACTACAATCCAGGAATGTGGGTGATGGGCACTGGGAGTGGGGGTGGGAGATTATTGTCATACAAGAAGATGTTGTTTGAGTGGTTCATGCCCCAAGAACTTTAGAGATATTCTGAAATTGGGTTTTTTCCCAAAGAGCAATAAGACAGAGCAACATGTGGACAGAGGCATGCAACCAATTAGGAGGATGGAAGGAGCCGTTTGATTTCCTGGAAGTGAGGCGTTTGAGTCGGTTGCTTAAAGCCTACGTGGGGAACAGAGTTAGTCTCTCTTACCCACCCACCCCTCCTTCTCCATCCTTTTCTCAACGCTGCTCCTCTGGCCGCCAGTCTGACAGAAGTCCCTTTGCCCCCAGATGTGTGGCATTGCGCTGACCGCAGAGTGCATCTTCTTTGTATCTGACCAACACAGCCTCTACCCGCTGCTCGAAGCCACCGACAACGACGACATCTACGGAGCCGCCTGGATCGGCATGTTCGTCGGCATCTGCCTCTTCTGCCTGTCGGTTCTAGGCATTGTCGGCATCATGAAGTCTAGCAGGAAACTTCTTCTGGCGGTGAGACCACAAAGCGCGACAGTTGTCTCCTGGACCAATTTTGATGGATTGTTTCTTCTTCCCTGAGCACAATGCTTTGACCTTTAGTGGGGGAGGGGGAGCAGAGAGTGCTATGGGAGAAGGAGGAGGGGACTGTCCCCGCAGTTAAGCTTGTCCAAGTGAGGGCAAGGATGCCCTCTGCTATTGCAAGTCCAGAAGATTCCAGTGCAGGGAACCCAAAGGGGAGGAACCTGAGGGTGACCCTGATGAGTATTTTTCAGATCTGTGTTTCTCCAACTGGCATCCTCATGTACCCAACTGGTATAGCCAGGAGCTACTTAGGCCAAAGGAGAGACAGAGTGAGAACTTCATAATTAGATTTTTTTCTCTTGACAATAAAGATTTTAAAATATTAATTAGACCTTGATATATCAGGATATGAAATACAAACCACACGTGAGTTTTTAAGGGAAAGCATGAGCCATTTTAGACATTTTGGAGCTGGAGGCTGATGATTCTGTGTGATGGCCGACACTCCCCATATTATACATTCACACTGCTTTTCAGGGACCCTCGAGGAACTTGATGCACATCACTGTAGACTACAGCCTCAGCTCCCACCTGCCTGTGGGGTTGTAACTCTGTGCACCCACAGAGCCAGTTCAGCCCCAAACCACAGACAGCAAGGCTGTGCCCTGCCTCTGCAGAGGAAGCAAGTTTGAGATGTTTTGCAAAAATCAGCAGAACTAAGAAACCTCGGTATTGGGTCTAGATCTCTACTCCCTGCCCAGGGGTTCGAGACAGCAGTTTCTCACACTGTGATGGGGTCCACCCCCGCCCCTCCCTAAAATAATTCTCCACGGACCAAATGCTGCAGAACCCGAGTCCCACCTTCATAGAACCAGTCCAGCAACTAACCAGGTGCTTGTTAGCTAACTTCCCTGTGATCTGACATTGTCCTGGCACCCAGGGAATGCAGACCATTTACATTCTCTGGGTCCTCAGTGTCAGTTAGTTCCAGGGCCAAAGCACCCACTTTTGGAGGGTGGGGAAAGGAATGCAAGGAAAGGGAGAGGAGGGGCCAGTGTCACTAGAGACAAGCTTCAGCTGCATCTCAGGCTCACTTTGGACCAGTCCTGTGTGCCTGACGTAGCCAGAAGATGTGAGCTGGAAAGGAAGATTCTTCACCATGCCCTGAAAAGAAAAGGAGCAGGACACCCTCCAAGGGGCTGATGGAGGAAAGAGCTGCACCCTGTGCCTCCTTTCTGGGGTGTCTCTAAGGGGGTTCTGAGGCCCTTAAAGGGAGCCAGCCAAGCCCTTGACAAAAGACAAGGCAGCAGCTAATATGGGGGGAAATGCTATGAGGTCTCTGAAGATGCTTTTGCTCTTTACTCTCCAGCCAAAGCTTTTCTCTGGGCTAAGTGGTTGGGGCAGCAGAGCCTCCCCTGCCCAGAGAGGAAAAATCCTTTTCCCTGTGCTCCCCCACCAACACTGAACACAGTGCCCTTTCCCCAGAAGAACGCAAGGACCAAAAGCACATGTGCAAAGCTGAAGAACACAAAGACAGAGCTCTTACAAAGTCCTCATCCCAGATTCAGAGGTCATTTGTTGTTCAGATATTTTCCAACCATAAATAGGGACAATATGTGAGGGCATCATGTGCGCATGCACACACCAGTTTATTCTCTTACATTTGTTTTTCTCAGTTAAAATAGAAATGCAGGACATTGGACTGAGAAAGCTCCATATTTGATGGGCATTTATTCTCTGGGGAAAAGAAGAGAATTGAGCTGATTAGCAGCTAGCACCAAGTCTTGCTCGAAGCAGCTGATCTGCGAGGATTTGTTCAATAACTATGTAAATGATTGGATGATTATATTTACATGAATATACTGAAAAAATATATAAAAATTATTTGTTTGAAAAGTCTTTCTTTGGAGGCAAATGTAACTCTATTTTTTTAAAAAATTGTTTCCCTTCCAGTATTTCATTCTGATGTTTATTGTGTACGGCTTTGAAGTGGCATCTTGTATCACAGCAGTAACACAACGAGACTTTGTGAGTACAACCTCAAAAAGCACAGAGCAAAATGATGGTGAGAATCATCATTATCATCATAAGATAATATCTGACCTGTATTAAGCTCACGCTCCATCCCAGACACTCTAATATGCACATTAATAATAAATATGTAATTTTACTTAATTCTCATAATAGCCCTACGAAATAAGTATTATCACTATTGTCATTTTATAGATGAAAAAATGAAACTTAAAAAGGTACAGTAATGTGTCCAAGGTTACACAGCTGGTAAGTGAAAGGGAAGAGTCCCGAGTCCAGGCAGTGTGACTCCTGGAGCCCACTATGCCCTTCACCATTCTGCCACAGCCACTGGCCCCCTAGTAGTATGGTCAATAATCCACCACATCCAAGACTTCCTCTCCTTTCAGCATTTCTCTCCTTTCCTCCAGTCCCCAGCCTAAGCCACCCTGCAATGCCTGTCCACCCTGGTCCACTGGGATTTCTTTGAAGATGGGGATTTCTCCCCACATGGGGACTTCAGCCACCCAGAGTAGCCTCACAGCCACCACTACCCCTACCCAGTGCCTCTGAGCACAGTTTTACTCCAGGCGGCAGTGTTCAGCGCCCCCAGCAATGGGCCGAGCAAATCACTTTTGCCTCCTTGGGGGCTAGTGTGCTAACGCTTCCTCTTGTGTTGCCTCCTCCCTTCGCAGTTCACACCCAACCTCTTCCTGAAGCAGATGCTGGAGAGGTACCAAAACAACAGCCCTCCTAACAACGATGACCAGTGGAAAAACAATGGAGTCACCAAAACCTGGGACAGGTTCATGCTCCAGGTAATGCCTGTGGTCACAGGGAGATGCCATTTTGTACCTAAACTAGTATCCAGGGGTGTATCTATGGTTGGGATAGAAGACAAAGGGTGGGGACCACAGCCTCTAAGATGAACACAAGCAAGTTCATCTATTGCTCTTATTTACCAGCAGGGGAAAGCAGTTGTACACATGACTCAGTGGGACCCCTAGATCTATATTTTTCCACTCTGCTAGCAAGAACTAAGCTCTTCAAATGAAAATGTGAATGCTCACACATTTGAAAAATCTACTTACCAAATGTTTAAAGCCCAGTTTGAAATAACCTTGACTCAAACGTAACCATCTTTCCTCAACATGCTCAGGTCAAAATACAGGATGATTATTTTCTTTGGTAAGATATTTCCTACAATTTAGTGGCAAAATAGGATATACTTTAAAGATGGTTGATTTATCATCAAGTTTGCTTGGATATATTTATTCCAAAGGTTGAGAGATGGCTGTAGTTTTAATTACTTAAAAAAATACATTCTAGCAGAATTCATAAAAAGGAAGGAAAGCAATATGAATTGTGTTTTATCCTCTATCCTCCATTCTGTCCAGAGTGTAAGGATATTAGTTATGTATTAATTGATCCTCCTTTCCTATGTAGACGCATAGCTGTGTGTCACATGTTTATATTATCTTTTCCAGTTTATTTTCTCCCATTATAACAGTAATACAAAAATACAATATAAAAAGTAACTCTAGGAAATGTTAAAAATATAGAAAAGTAAAACAAAGAGAATTACTCATAACTTCTTCACCACTAGAAATTTTAATTTTCTGATTCTCAATTTGCTCATATGTAATATGAGACTACTTATTACTTCTCTCACATGAAGTCATTAGTACTTCTAGTCATTAGTATGAAGTCATTAGTACTTCTTAAGTATTAGTATTTATTGGGGGTTTACTATGGGCCAGGCAGTAACTAATTTAATCCTAACAGCAACTCTATGAGGTAGGTATTTCATTTATCCCAATTTTACAGTTAAGGAAACTGAAGTTTAGTGAGTTTAAATAACTTGTCAAAGGTTGCAGAGCTCATTAATGGCTAGTAAAGTAATAAATGTAAAAGTATTTTTGCAAACTCTAAAATAGAAGTTATCAGTACCTTCAGTGCCCATGGGGGATTTTTAGTAAACATAAAATACGGTACACTTTTCATATCTTCATTCTCCATAAATTCTCGGTTGCTACACTTGATGTCTGTAGCAAGGACCATGGAAGAGAATTCTGTACCTCTCATCTGCCGACAGGACAATTGCTGTGGAGTGAATGGTCCATCAGACTGGCAGAAATATACCTCTGCCTTCCGGGCTAAGAATAACGATGCTGACTATCCCTGGCCTCGTCAGTGCTGTGTTATGAACAAGCTGAAAGAACCTCTCAACCTGGAGGCCTGCAAACTAGGCGTGCCTGGTTATTATCACAGTCAGGTGAGTCCTTTCTCCCCCCAGGACCTGCCAGAAAGTTCTTCTGCTCTTCCTGAGGAAAATACTGGTTCGCTGCAGGTAATAATCTCTCAGTAAGGAATCTGCATCCTTTTCCCTAAACTTCATGTGAACCATTTCCATGATTTTACTTGCATGTGGAATCCAAAGAGCAAAATAAATGAACAAACAAAACAGAAACAGACTCATAGATACAGAGAACAAACTGATGGTTGCCAGATGGGAGGGGAATTAGGGGGCTGGGTGGAAAAGGTAAAGGGATTAAGGAATACAAATTGGTAGTTACAAAATAATCATGGAAATGTAAAGTGTAGCATAAGAAATATAGTCGATAATATTGTTATAACTATGTATGGTGCCAGGTGGGTACTACACTTATCAGGGGGATCACTTCTTAAATCATATAAATGTCTAACCACTATGTTGTACACCTGCAACTAATATAAAATATTATTGAATGTCAACTGTAATTGAAAATAACAAAATGAATGAAGTATTGACACATGGGACAACATGAATGAACCTTGAGGACATTATACAAAGTGAAATAAAACAGACACAAAAAGACAAAAAAAAGTGAATGCTAATCTAAGGCTGATCTGGGAAATTTTACATTTTAACAAAATTCACAGAACATGAGAATTACAATAGCAAAATTCAACTTTGTTTAAATGAAAACTTTTTGTACAATATATAGAATTAGTATGTCAAAAACTATTTAAATGAAACAAAGATTTGCTCTATTTTTGCAAAATGTAAATTGGAAGAGATATGCAAAAAGAATGTTTTGCCAGTTCTAAAGCAATGGCAGTTGTTGAGGGTAAATGCAGTAATTATATATCCACATTCCTTATTCAGTGGTAATATAGTATAGTCTTAATAAAATATCAGATTCATGATTTGGGTAGAAGATAATTTCCATACCGATGATTTCTGAAAAAGTGTCTCTAGCCTAATGAGGATGCTATAATGATGATGGAAACTAACATTTATTGAAGACTTACTAAATGCCAGACACCATCTCAACTGCCATACATGTATTAACTCATTTAATGCTCAAAGGGAGGTGCCGGTATGGTCCCTATTTTATGGATGAGGAACTGAAATATAGAGATTCTAATAAGTCCCTTGCCACTAGTCATGCAGCTAGTAAATGGTAGAGTCAGGATTCAAATGCTTGCGGTGTGGTTCCAGAGCCCAGACTCTATGCCAAGAAAGAACTTGGAAATATTCCCCAAAAGCCCTGGAGAGGCTCCTCATACACATATCAGTCTCTGAAATGCTGTGCACCGCTTTGCAAGTGACCACTTGGAGGACAGCTAGTTCTGTGCCAGTTCATTAAACAATTGAGAAATGGCAGGGTCTTTAGTCTTGGAGTAGATAATACAAAGTGTACTTTCAGAATGAAGGACAGAGCACTGCTGATCATGTGGCCACACCTGGAATGGTGCCTGGATTTGGAATGCTTGCATTAATCCAGAAAAGGACAGGGGAGTGATACAGATTATTTGGCAGAGTCGTTCAAAGCCATGCTCATTTAGCTTTTCAGAAACATTGTTTCGGCATCGTTTTAATCAGTTATATTCAGACTGCTATAAAAATTAAATTTATTGCCTGTATAGGCAATATAATCATCGCTCTTAGGAGTCACAAAATGCTTTTAATATTTCAACCATGGAACTGGCCCATGCAGACATATCTTGATTGGACTGTAATTACATACAAACTGTATCATTTCTTTGAAAGGGACAAAAAAACACTATTTTTGCCCTCAAATAATCACTTTCTCGCACAGCTATTACATTCTAGTAATGAGGGACCGCCACGCCTGTTTTGACAACCCTCCTAGCACTCACCCTTACAGTTCCTTGGCCTCACCTTGTCCTTAACATGTCCACCTCCACTACCCACCAGCTAGCACCACTCAGTGCTGCTCCCCAACCAAATTCCTGAATCCTGAAATTCCTCTGTCCCTGACTCCCTGTATTCCTACTTCCTCAATCTCACTTATTCTT